AAACACTGTATCTTACACTGCAAACACTGTATCTTACACTGCAAACACTGTATCTTACACTGCAAACACTGTATCTTACACTGCAAACACTGTATCTTACACTGCAAACACTGTATCTTACACTGCAAACACTGTATCTTACACTGCAAACACTGTATCTTACACTGCAAACACTGTATCTTACACTGCAAACACTGTAGGATTAACCTTTTGAGTGTCATTGTCAACTTTTGCCACCCGCAACAAAATGTTTATGATCCCCACATGAAATGTTGATAAGAATTGAAGAAACCTTTTGATCAAAAACTAAAATCAATATTTGAAACTGTCTGTATGAACCAAAATGATGATGAAAATTTAGTGACAATTTCACAAAATGTGGAAATATTTGTACCGAATTTTAGACGGGAAAAATATCTGGCAGTCAAATAAAGAAAATGTATATAAATAAATACAGACTGCATACATGTATGGCACCATTTTAACAAGGAATAACCAGTTTATTGCAACTCATCTTCAAATTGTGTTTATTTGTGTGTTTCACTTGTCTTTCTTTTTCATTGTTTTGTGTTTAATTTAAAATACCCTATGCTATTCTGTATGTTTTTTCGTTTCAGTGAAGGTCGGCCTAGAAGGAATGATCTGACAGTACTTGTAGCCCATAATGATGACCCTACAGATCAGATGTTTATATTTTTTCCTGAAGAACCAAAGATTGGAATAAAAACTATTAAAACGTGAGTATTTTAAAAATAATAATATGTGTTTATACCTTATATGTTAAAATATGTAAAATATGTTGTTGAAATGCATTTTTTTTCACCCCTTGGCTATAAAGAATTTATGATATTTAGCAATGAAACAGTTTTGCGAGAAATTGTGTACATGGTAGTTTTGTGTAAACATTTTGACACTTTTGTATCTTATGAATTATAATTCGTCTGTCATGCCGAAATTTTGCAGTACTGTAAAATACTTTATTTCACGATTTTTACTGAAGGGATGATTCAGTGAAAAGAAAATCCAGCTGATATACCTTTTTTTCCTATATTCTACATTCAACACATCGATAATCAGTGAAAATAAACGTCATACAATTTCAAAGCACCAAAAATTTTTTCAGCGAAAATTAATTCCAGCTAAAATAAAGTATTTTACAGTATTAGCATCTTTGTATAGAACAATTATATAATATTTTCAAGATGGCGGACATGAAGTTCATAACGAAAAAGTGTGACTACTCTCCCATTTTGCTTTGTTCAGGGCTTCATACAACTTGGTCGAGAAAATGTATAATAATAAAATTATTACGAAAATACTGCAATGTTTGACAAGACAGTACATGGTCACATCTCATTAATTTTTTTTTTCAGATATTGTCAAAAAATGCAAGAAGAGAATATAACCAGAGCAACTATTGTGGTTCAAGCTGGTATGACACCCTCAGCTAAACAGGTATTTATGCGTCCCATATGGAGGGATTTATGCTATAAAATTATTTACATATATGTAAGATGTTCATGTGTGAATGCAATACTATACACGTGTCCAATACATGACATTATGTTTTCCATTGATTGGTGGTCTTGTGAAATTTACTTATTTTGCATGACGTCACAGGTCATACAACCTGGAGCATTCTAGGGGTAATGTTGGCTTCTAACTGCAATAATTTCCATTATTACCGTACTCGACCATGTTTGTACCCAGGGTCCTCAACTCATAAAACCAGGATTTTTTAGGGGTGGGCGCTTACCCGAGCACCCTCCTCGGAAAATAGTGCAACTGACAATTTTAATTCACCGTGTGACAGATTGAGGGGGATATTACGTCTTTGAGGGAAAATAAAATTTCAAAATTAGGTGTATTGTCATTGACTCTTACAATGAAGAAACAGAAATGGTATACTTCATTTTAATTTTTTATACTCCCAGAAAGTACGGTACCAGGATGTGTGATCTTTTGGAGGGTCATGATATGGCTGAATTTAATCTCACATTTAATAACTCGCATGTTTATTTGTTAGTCATTAGTTGATATGGCACCAAAATACATTCTTGAACAGTTTTTAGAAGCAGAACTTCTCATCAATCTTACGGAACATGAGGTGAGAATTGTGTGTATTGAATTGAAGAATTGAATTTTAAATATTTTTCGGATAATTTCACTGTATTCGCAAAGACACATTTGTTTGTTAGTCGTTTTGTTTTGTGTTATTTCAGCTTGTACCAGAACATGTTGTCATGACACCGGAAGAAAAAGCTGAGCTATTAGCCAGATAGTATCCTTTAAATTATTTCCTCTGAAGTCTCAAAGTGTAAAACAAGAAAACAAAACACAAAGGTGTAACTAGATACCATCTTTAATGCAGTCAATGGGGGAAAGTATCAAATTTTTTTCATGTTGATGTTCCTGAGCACAACCATTTTCACATGGCATGCTGGGTAGTAGAAAGGACAATAAGGAAATACTCAATATGCTTTCAATATTCATTTTACCCATTTACCCATGTAGCTCACATGTTACCTTGGAAAAAAATTCAATTATGGCTGTAGATAGGGCAAAATATCATAAGTCATTTTTAATGGTATCATTTTCAAATTACTGTAAAATACCCCGGTACTTTATTCTCGCTTGGAATTTATTTTCGCTATTTTCGTTGAAGGAATGATTCCATGAAAATAAAATCCAGTGAATATACTTTTTTTTCCCTATAATTCACATTAAATTCATCAAAAATCAGTGAAAATAAATTACAAGCAAAAAGCCTTTTCAGTGAAAATTAATTCCAGCGAAAATAAAGTATTCCACAGTACAACTATGGACTAATCAAGTTTGCAGTACATGTATATCTGAATGAATCACGATTCAGATGGTGAGTTGTTCTGTGGATGGATTGTTTCATGAGCGATGTTTCTTTGTGATAGGCCATGAAATCTATTTTTAGCCCCATGGAAAGATCACCTTCCATGCAACTCTGTATTATTTCTGGTCGACAGATCGAAGAAATCGCAACTGTAGACAACTTTCATAACTAATTTGTACACTGTGTGTTACTAGAGTGAAGTGAAAACCACTCAGATTCAAACTCAGTGCATGAACGAAACCTTTTTCAAATAGGATATATTAAATTAGATTCAAGATGAAATTGGATTTCAAGAGTGTTAATTGTTATTTGATCTCAAGCATAGAATATGAACAACACCATCAGATGTTGAGACTCTTGATATGCAAAATTAAAACAGTTCTAGTTGTAACAAACACTGTTTCTAACATTAACAATGTTGCAGAGGAATAGAGAGATATAGCAGTTTTCATGCTCACTTTATTTTGGTCTGCTATATATGCTACCTCAGGTTATTTCTCATTTACCTTAACCTCTGCTTAGTCGTTTAAAAGAGCATCAGTTACCACGGATACAACAAGGAGATCCTGTGGCGAGATATTTTGGTCTTAAAAGAGGACAGGTAAAGATGTTATTACTGATAGCATATAGTGGTTGTAGACCTAAGTTCAAAGCTCACCTGGGGGTGGGGGCAACAGCAAAATATTATGAGATACATATGTGCTTAATTTTGTTTTATTGAGGGGGGCAAGGAGGGTAGCTGGTACAGTTTTACCGGAAATAAAAAGTGCTTTTAACAATTTACAAGGGAAAAAAAAAACATTTTTACAGTTTACAGTGAAAATTGAATTTTGCTGTGAATTGTGTCATCTAATGGTTTTACAGTTTCGAAAATGTTATTTCCCTGGATTATTCTTTACGACTTTTTTTATTTGTATGTAAATTCTTGTACGTACCGAGAAAAAGGACACATTTTTACAGTGTACTAAAAAAATATTTGATTGACTACGTTGTACGTCTAGCCTGTGATTACAGAATTACGAAATTTATTTTTTTCAATTTACGTTGTACGAACAAAAAAATATTGCAATTACGTTGAACAAAAATAACCCTTGCCCCCCCCCCCTCATATTATCTGATTGGACGGAAATCTTAATACTTGAACATGTCCACTAGCAGTTTGAGGAGATGACGTGACCAATTTTGATTGAACTTTGTATGTTAACAATACTGAGTTACGAGACTGGTGTGTGTATTTCTTCTTTGAGATCTGATTCAAGATGGCCGACTTGCAGTCAATAACTTAACGACAAATGTCAAAGAGTTGTTTTATCTATTAATTTTTCCTGTTCTCTACACAGGTTGTGAAAATAATTCGGCCGAGTGAAACAGCAGGCAAATATATATCTTATCGGCTGGTTCAGTGACTACATTCCATTTCTGCTATCACACACATGTTCTGTTTGTGTGAATTTACATGAATTCCGTCAGTGTCTCATGTTTCCAGTAATAGACATGAACAAGATTTTTTTTTTCACTGATGTAGGAATTTAGGTGTATAATTTACCATTTATTTTCATGAATATCGTTTATAGTCGATGAAAACCACAAAGTTTTCCATTCGTGAACTTACAAGGAGTCGATGACTTTTGCAAAATTTTGTTTTCACAGTTGCTCTCAAATTGCGAATACATGAAGAGGTCATTAAGATGACACCTGTGTGCTTTGGTCTGCTATGCCATATTTCTATTGAATTTTCAGAAACACTGTCTGTTGTATTTTATAATAAAATATTTAGTATCTTATATCAGTGTACTAGTATTGTTTTAAGGTAGCGAGACTATTATTTGTGTTGAAAATTACGATTTTCACATTTATTTATTAATTGATGAAATGCACTATAAACTTTCATCTGATAAAGTCAACGTAACATAGAATGTCATGTAAGTTGGTTAAAATGTAGATTTTCTGAAGGGAAGCAAGGCAGTCTCAGTAGTGTTTTCCAAAATCAACAACACAGGTTTAATCTGTGTGCCTATAAGTTTCAAAGATTAACTCGAGACAAAGCAATGTTAGGGTGTGTTATCAGTAGCTATCTGACACACAATGAGTGTTTCCAAACATTTGAGTGGTTTGTCTCCGCCCCTGTTTATTTCACAGATTAGTCATTTGCATATGAGGCACAAGGTCACACAGTCACTGAAAAAAATCATTGATTTTGGTGTTTTCATCTGCCGATTTTATCTAATTATAGCTATCCCATTCCTTTATTTTTTTGGTTTTCAATAGCCTTACACATTTGGATGCCCCTACACATGTTAAAACAGACCTTGAAAGAAAAACAAATCGTTTGTGCCGATAAACAAGCTTGAAAATCTTTGCTGTGACTTCATGGACGTTTTCTAGGAGTTTATGTTTTTCAA